AGGCGCTGTCGCTCTGCCCGCCGCCGCCGCTGGGCTGCGAGCTGGTGAAGGAGCCGGGCTGCGGCTGCTGCCTCACCTGCGCCCTGCCCGCCGGCCAGCCCTGCGGCGTCTACACCGAGCGCTGCGCCCGCGGGCTCCGCTGCCTCCCGCGCCAGGGCGAGGAGAAGCCGCTGCACGCCCTGCTCCACGGCACCGCCGTCTGCCTCAGCGAGAAGAGCTACCGCGAGCAAGCCAAGGCCGGTGAGTGACCCCCGCTTCTCCCATCCTCAGCTTCCCGGGTGCTTTTCTGCCTTGCCGGCTCCTTTTCCATCTTTCCGCCTGCTTTTTCCACCCCACCACCATCTCCCGGCTGCATTTTCCCTCTTTCCGGGGACTCTTCCATGCCCCTCCGCTTGCTTTTCCGCCTTTCCGGCTCCCTTTCCATCTTTCCGCTTGCTTTTCTACTCCCTCCCACCGGCTGCTCTTCCCTGCCCCCCCGGCTGCTTTCCCACCCTTCCGGCTGCTTTTCCATCTTCCCAGGTGCTCTTCCCTGCCCCCGCTTGCTTTTCCGCCTTCCCGGCTACTTTTCCATCTTTCCGCCCGCTTTTCCATCCCCACCCTCCCCAGCTGCTCTTCCATCCCCCCTCCCCCACTGTGTGCTTTTCTGCCTTCCCCGCTGCTCTTCCATTCCCCTCCACCACCAGCAGCTGCTTTTCCATCTTTCTGGCTACTTTTCCATCTTTCTGCCTGATTTTTCTCTCTCACACACACATATACACACCCCGGCTGCTTTTCTATCTTTCCAGCTATTTCCCCATTCCTTCCCCTCCCCACCCCCTCCACCGGCAGCTTTTCCAAGCCCCCGGTTGCTTTCCCACTGCTTCTGCACCACCACCGCTTCCCCTGGCTGTTTTGCCATCCCCCTATTGCTTTTCCACCTTTCCAGCTACTTTTCCATCTTTCCGGCTGCTCTTCCACAGCCCTCTCAGCTGCTTTTCCATCTTTGTGGGTACTCTTCCATCCCCCTAGCTGTTCTTCCATGCCCCCTGCTGCTTTTCCCATCCGTCTTTCCATCCATGCCCTGGTCGAACCTCCTGTTGCATCATCTCACAGCCTCCCCCACCCCCCTTCCATCATCACCTCTGGGTTGTCCCATCTCCGATGGAAAGCTTTTCTTCCCCCACCTCCCAGATGCACCCTCTTAGTCCCAGCTGCATCCCAGTCCTTCCCCAGTTGCATCCTTTACATCTTTCCTGCATCCCTGTCTTCACGCTCTCCCTGACCCCTTTGTCTCGCCATATCCTCCACCTTGCTCTGGGGCCCGAGCTGGCCTCTGCAGCTTGAGATACAAGGGAGGACAGGGCACCTCCTTGCAACCATCTGCCCCATTCCAAAAGTCCTCAGTCCCCCCCAGATTTGTTGCTCAGCCTCCGGCTTTCTCCTTGCGGTCATTGCAGCCTGCTCTTCCTGGCTGCCCGCTGCTGGACATCTTTGTTGGGCAATGAGTTTTAGCCCAGGGAGGTGCAGGTGCATTAGGGACAGGGAATCTGTGAAGGCAAAAAATAATGATGGTGTTGCTAATAATCAGAAAGAATAGGTTAAAAGCAAGCATGAAGGCTGGCATGGTAGCAGCAGTGCAAAGCCAAGCTTCTGAAATGCCTGCACCTTGCACGTGACAAAAGCACGAAAGAAAGTGCTCCTTCACTCTGGCACGTGTTAAACTCCGATTTCTGGATCCTGCAGCTTGTGCAAGGACATTTTCCCTGTATTCTTCCAAATACATCTGTATTTCTGCCACGGCGTGAAGGGGAAGCAGGGAGGATGTCTGCATGTCCAGGGGACCAGGGAACCACTTGGCAAAAAAAACCCAGAAACAAGCCCCCCGCTTTTTTTTGGTCCATGAAAAAGTCATTTTTGCTTGTTAGCAAGCTTCTGCTTATACCCGCGCAATGGGAATCAGTTTCTCTTTTCTAGCACCTAATAAATCTTCGTGCTTTTATTATTTTTCCCTTTTGCTGCTTGCAGGCAGTGGTTGTGTTGCTACACTCCATCCTTCAGAGCAAAACCAAATTCTGTGTGTATAACTTCCTCCCTCCCTCCCTCAAATGACAACAAATGTCCAAACTCCCTTAAAATCAGCCAGAAACAGCAAAGCTGTGCTTGGTTTTCTGAAGGGGAGCTGGAACAGGCAAGGGCTGGGAGGGGACCTGTGCAGGGAGTGGAGGGTGAAGCCAGGAGCCGCGTTCCTGCCATGAAGCCAGGAGCCGCGTTCCTGCCGTGGAGCCCAGGAAGCCGGGCAATAACCCACTGGCAGCGGAGCTATGTGAAGTATCCTGGAGCGCGTCATCCCTGGTGTTTATTTACTCTGCGCGTGTGTGTGCGCGGTTGGGGGCAGGCGGTGTGGTCAGGAAGGCAAAGCTATGCAGCCAAAACGCAGCGGTGGCTGGGAGAGTGAGTCCAAGGGTGCCCTGTGCAGACCGAAGGCACCCGAAAAAGCTTTGGCGCTTGGCTCCCAGCGTGAGTCTCCTTTTGTTCCACCTGCCTCACTCTTCCCAGGGAAACTGGTCTTTTGGCAGGTGCTTTGCGTGAAAACTTTGGCCAGTCCTCTCATAATATTGTTGCTTTTGGTTTTCTTGGGATGGGGAGCACCCGTTGAATGAACAAGGAGAGGGACAGGAGAGAGGTTGCAGGTTTGTTGCAAAACTAACTCCCTGGCACTACCTGTACTTCCAGTTTGGACTCCCCGAGCACTGCAGGGGTCTCTTTTTGACGGGTTTTGTTTGCAGCTGGGAGATGAGCCTGGATCGGAAAGGCTGCTGCAGGAAGCCGCAGGAGACCGACAGGCTCCTCTTGAGATTTGCGCGATTGCAAAAAAGAAATAAAAAATAAATCAGGAATTCCTGAGGACGGGAGAGGGAAAAAACTCTCTTGGCATTCGACTGGTAGCGTGTGAGAACAAAGTATATTTTCATAGGCGTGTTTCTAAGCAACGGGGCAAGGAGAGAAATGAAGTTTGACTTGAACTTTCTGGCCTCTGCCAGCTTGGCCAGCAGTGCAGGGACCGTGTGCTGGGGAAGCTGGCCTGGCCCTCCGATCTATCAATGACCAAAATTGGCCCTGAGCTGCGAACCGCTGAGAAAGAATCAGCACTCTGCAAAATAAACTATGTGACAGTGGCGAGGACTAGATCAAACTGCATTTCTATCTATTTCTGCTCTTGCACTGGCCGAGTTTAAAATCGCAGATGCTTTCCTCCTTATAGTCGAGGTGGAGATGCAACAAGCAGTATTGCAAGAGCCCAAGCCTGGGAGGCTGGGCTCGGCTCTCCTGTAGACCAGATGTCTTGCCTGAGGACAAGATGCTCCCAGGTACCGTGCCTCAGTTTCCTTATCTGTAAGCTGGGCACAGCGGTACTGAGAAACACCAGAGCTGCTGGGCAGGATGTGCTCCTGGTTTGCGGAGAGGTCAGAAATGAGAGCAAGCGTGGGATTAAAGAGCTTTGGTAAGGCTCGTTTTAAGTAGACAGATGTGTAGGTACTGACAGGACGATCCCTGTAGTCCTTCCTGGCACAACACTCAGACACCGTCCTTTACCGAAAGCCAAAACATCACAGCTGTAATTGACTGTTCCTGGTAAAAAAACATGAATGAGCTTCATTTATGGCATAGGCTGCAGGATTCTGGGTTTTCTCTGTTTTGTTTAGGTTTCCTTTGAAATACACCACGTCTTTCCATTTTTCTCCCCCGTGCTCCCGCCAGACTTCCTTCTGCTGAGACAGCAAGGTCAGGCCAAGTGCCGGGGAGCGGAGGGCACAGATTGGAGCCTGCTGCCCTAAAAAGGCTCGTGGAAAAACAAAGGTTGTCAAATATTTTCTTCTCCTCTCATTCCTGCCCTCTTTCTAGAAAGCGAGCAAGACTTGGCAAGTTTCCTCACGAAACCATGAGCCAACGATAACCAGTAGGGGAAAGGGGGACGTGGAGAATTAGCCCTAAGAAAATTGTCTTTGCTGCGTCAGCTGGAAGTAGGCAGAGGAGGAGTGCTGCCGAGCCCAAGTTTCCTGCGGCTCATGTTCGGTGCAGTCCTTTATCCGTCCCCAGCGTATTCCCCCACCCCGTTTCTCCTTCCCGTTCGGGGATGTGGGGCTTCAGGGGCGAGCGATGGGGACGCGGCGGGGCAGGTGGGCAGCCCCGCGCCGAGGTCCAGGGCGAGGGTGAGGGTTAGGGCAGGGGTCGTGGGAGCGGGGCGCTTGGGACACGCCGGCTTGCGAACATGTATCGCTCGGGGAGGGACCCGGCTGGTGCTGAGCAGCAGGTCCTTTGTGCAAAGCAGCTCCCGAGCTGTCAAGGCGAAAGCTAGTAGCAACAGGCCTGCAAAGCCTCGGATCTGAAACAGGAAAATCTCCATTTTTCTTTTGATCTGAAGTTTCAACAACAATAACAATATATTAAAAAAAAAAAAAGAGGGTGAAATCTCTCAGGTGCCAGCAAGAGAGCCGGGTTTCTGGAGGGTGAAATCCATCAGGTGCCAGCAAGAGAGCCGGGTTTCTGTGGTGTGTGTGTACGGGGGAGGGAGGGATGGGGTGGTTCAAACAGGAAAGGAGGGGCCTTGGCTGGAAAGATTTTTCGGCAGCCTGGTTTCTAAGGAAGGAGCGAGAATATTAAGTAGTTGGTACAAATGAAATTCCTGCTGGGTGCCAGCAGAGTTCACCGGAGAAAAGACGTGGCTCTGTGCGTGCGTGTGTGCGTGCATGAGTGATAGAGCTGGTCCTGAGCTCCCGCGCAGTGCTGTCAGCCTGGACCCGCTCCAGGTGAACGAAGGCAGCTCCTCCAGATCCTGTACCACTGCAGTGGAAAACAGGGGCTGGCCTTAAATGGGAGCCTCTGCAGACCTGAGGGATGCTGGAGGAAGGCTGTGTGCCTCCTTGTGTCGATATTTAAGCACCAGCATCCTGTGCCCAGATGACCGTCGCGGTTTTGGCATGTCGGTGGCATGAGCAGAGTCACGTGCGACTGGAAGCATTTGCATGACTACGGGGGGAGGTGTCCCGTCAGGCTCAGAAAAGAGGGGTAGGAGAGCTCGGGTACATTTTGTGCCAGCTTCAGGACAGCCCCTGGTTTCTTTTGGTTGTGTAGTTTGCCACACGTGTGTCAGGGCAGCCAGGGAGGAAGGAGAGGAGGAGAAGCAGTGAGCGGGTGCTTCCTCGCACAGAGCACGGTGCTCTGCTTCCTCCTAACGTCCGCTGGAAGTTTTACCCACGCTG